TTGGTTCGTTTTTCACACCCCTATTACTTTATTTTTAAGATTACACTAGTTATGTTGTTGTAAACACAATTATACAATTGTTTCTTTATGTACTTGTATGTATATGTAGGGGTGTACATCGGTTCAGTTCGGTTTAAAGGAGCAAGCAGGCTAGACTTTGTGCTAAGCAAACTATATGACTAGCTTCCCTAGTTTGGTAAGTGTAGATATGCAAAAATTTACGGGATTAAGTCCAAATTTTGTATGAACTAAGTTCTAAATTCAAGATATATTGACCCAAGTCAACATTTTGGGTTAATAAAGCCGGATTAATTATTTAAGTCAAGATTGCATGACTTAAGTCAAATCCAACTACATTGGGCTAGGCTGGGCCTCTACAAAATGGTCCACCCGCATATTTCAAGCTCAAGGGTCCATTAGGATTACTTGGAGGCTACCCTAAAACCCTAATTGTGTATTATCGGTTCAGTTTTCAGTTTTTAAATACGTTAAATTAATAATCAATTCAATAGAGTATTTTTTATTGGTTTTCGGTTAATCGGGTTTGCTCCTTAACGGTTCGATTTTCGGTTCAACCAATAAGAAAATTCTTATAAAAATAAATATATGACTTCTCCAATAATTTCACACGACAAGAACTTTACTAATGCTCATAAAATAGAAATAGCAATAACTAACATAAAAAGAACTATACAAGTGTAACACAAAGAGAAATTAAGACGGATATGGTTCTTACTTTAGGTTTTGAAGTTTTGTATAGTGTGAAGTTGTGAACTCAAAGTCATTGTGAAGTGTATATAGAAGGTTAAAGGGCAAAGACAATAACTAGTAAAGTATTGAGATTATTATTTTAATATTTATGTATGGGTAAAGTAGTAAATTACTACGGTCTTAATGAGTTATCAGTTTACCCAATAATCAATATTTAAAAATTAAAACCGAACCAATAAGTCGATAATGTTTTTTATAAAACCATTAAAAATCATTAATCCAATAACCACAAACCAAAAACACTTTTTTCGATTTAGTTTATCGATTGGTTCAATTTTTGTACACCCTTAGTTAGACGAGTTTGTCAACTTTTATATTCAGATGTTCTCAAACACTATCATTATTATTATTTAGATTTTTTTTTCCAGACTTTAGATAAAGTTGTTGAGATGACTTTGTTATGTATAAACTATTTTGATGTTCTTATTTTATAAAGCTTGTGCATAAATTTGTTCAGTCCTCCGTACTACTAAGCTAGACCAAAGGTCGCTTGTGACCAACAATGGCTCTGAGTGTCGGTCATGCTCAGGGTGTAGGCTCGAAACGTGATAATGAGATACAATGTAAGTATATTTTAGGTATTGTAATGTTTTAGTTGTTTATCATTAACAATGATGTTTTATGAGTATTGCGTATTTCTTGTGTTTTAGTTATTTGTAATTAACAATAATGATGTTTTATGAGTATTGACTATGTTGTGTTCGAATGTATATTTATATGAGAAAAATATAAAATAATCATTATAATTTTATAACAAGGAAAAATATAAATTTTCATCTAATTATATTTGTTAAAATTTAACATTAAAAAAGGGAAAATTTGGTCATTAAAGTTGTTATTGTCAAGAATAACATACAATTAACGACCAAATTACTAGTTATTTTTAATGACCAAAATGGTAGTTAGCGAAGGAAAAATTTGGTCTCTAAAGGAGGTATAGAGATCAAATTTGTTGTTGTCGCTAAAGGGTCTAAGGGTCTTTAACGACGAGATCAAAATCATGTCGTGAATCCATTCTACATTGAAGAAAGAATCGAATATTCATTGATCAAATCATTCACTCCATGGTCTGATAGATCTTTTGAAGAACTTTAGCGACCGAACACGATTATATTTTTTTCGGTCGTAATTGAACTGTAACGACCGGATTTGAACATTTAGCGATCGAATTTTCTCTTGCTAAAAGCCTTTTTTCTTGTAGTAAAGGAAGCTAAAGCGAACAAAATATTAACTATTGCAGTGCAACAATTTGAAACGATGAGAAGAGTTTCGTTGGGAAAAACCTAAGAATGAACTTAAAGTTTTTGAACTTTTTTCGAGTAAAAATCTCTCGTTTTAGATGAAAATAATGTGTATTTTAGATGATAAATTCAATTATTTTTAGATGAGACATTTGCACTTAATAATGACCCAAAAGAAGGGTACTTCTAGGGAGATTTTTGAATCGATTTTGGGGGGAAAATGGAATCAGAGAAATTTCAAAATCCTTAATGGTTAAGGATTAAGGTGATTGAAACCGCACAATCTCGTACGAATTTGAGTGAAAAAATAAAATGAAAACCTGTAAATTTGAAGAAAAATATTGGATATTAGAGTGAATTGAGATCATAATTTGTCTGGGCCAAAATTGTTGAGTATGAAAATTGGTCTCGAAAGAGGCAGAGGATGTGGTCAATTTTGAAATAAAAGAATGACAAAGGGGTTACAATTTTTGTCAAATTGAATGACCAATTGCATTACAAATTTAGCCAATAAAATTTAAAATGTAATCAAATTGAATTAACTTGACTAAAGTTAAAATGAGACAAACTATTATTGTCAATTAATAAAGTAAAATAGTTATTAAATATAAACTAATTACTTCAAAAAATAGAGCTACTAGTTAGTGACTCTTTTAATATAAAACACTATTTTTTAGATGAATTTTTAAAAAGTAGTAATTATATAAATCTTTATATCATAAACATATAGAAACATATATACTACTTATTTTATTAGAAAAATGACAAAATAATTAACCCAAAAATGACGTGAAAAATATTTTTGGACTTCATAAAGTTTATTATTTCGAATTGTTTGAAATTAAAGAAATTGGAAGTTAGGACCCGTTTGGTCATGCGATATGAAATCATGATATGATATTATGATATGAAGTTGAAGTATTGTTTGGATATGCAATTTGGACCTTTTATGTGGTATGTTTTCTCATAATTATAAAAACTCATAAGTTGTAAAACTATTTTAATTGTCCAAATTATTTATACAATCTTACCAAATAAACAAAAAATTATAAAATTACATAATACATTATCACAAAGATATTCTAATTAATACAACATTTATTGATCAAACCTTAATTTAATAAAAAAATAAAATTGAACATAAGAGTGTTCAAGTTGTTAGCAACTAAGAAAATTATTTTTTCAATTAGTGTCACAGTGGTTAGTCTTATCCACTCAATACAATGATGAAACTTCTATTATTATTAAACATTGATTTGAATGAAGTAGTAATAAATTTGATAAAAAAATAATAAATTTGGTGAATATAAATGGTAAATTAGGAATTGATTTGAAGTAAAAATAAATTTTATATTGACGAGAATAATTGTTATATATGAGATATAAACGATTTAAAAAGTAATGATATGGATTATTGATTTTAGGGATAATTTCAGAGACCTCCCTTCAGGCTTCGCTCTATAACATTCACCTTCCCTATGGTTTACGATATTACGTCTACCTCCCTTATTTTCATTTTCTTGTAACCATTCTTTAAACCTATTTAAAATAAATATAAATTAATTTAGATTTGACAATTTTACCCCTCTATATATTAATTTCTTCATATTAATAAATATTATATAAAAAAAAACAACTCATTTAACAAATACTTTAAAAATAAATCAGCACAAATAAATTTTCTTAAGAATTAAAAGTCTTCTTCTTATCAAACTTCCACTTCATCAATCGTATTCTTCTGCAAATCTCATATCATTGCTAATGCAGATTAAGTATTCTTATTTTGTGGATTTTGATGCTACATCACGTATAAAATACTCCTTTTGTCTTCTGGATAATTATGTTTTTCACCCTAAGTATTTAGTTTAGGTCTTATGGCTTGATGTGATCTAAAAATCGAGTATAGTCACTTTTTGTAACTACTATACAAAGAGTAAAATCAGAAGTACAAAATTCTATATTTCCTATTTTTGTGAGATCTAAACACTTAAATCTCAAGCTCGTCCACTTTCAAATAGAGTAATTGTGGTTCTAAGTATGGATGTGAATTATGATGAAGATTTGAAGCACATGTTCAATATTTATGCAAATCACAGAAGTATACATATTATTCTTTACAATGTTGAGATGGTTCCTTCTCCCCAAGAAGTACGTGATGACTCAAATGGAGATTTTGACAATTTGACTCCTAATGAATCAATGAACATGAATAACGCTACAAAGTGGGTTATATCGGGTGAAAAAGATTGTAATGATGATTTACTTTTTAAAGTATTTGTTAAATGAGTTTTTTTTAAATAATATTTATTAATATGAAGAAATTAATATATAGAATGGTAAAAATGTCAAATCTAAATTAATTTATATTTATTTTAAATAGGTTTAAAGAATGGTTACAAGAAAATGAAAATAAGGGAGGTAGACGTAATATCGTAAACCATAGGGAAGGTGAATGTTATAGAGCGAAGCCTGAAGGGAGGTCTCTGAAATTATCCCTAAAATCAATAATCCATATCATTACTTTTTAAATCGTTTATATCTCATATATAACAATTATTCTCGTCAATATAAAATTTATTTTTACTTCAAATCAATTCCTAATTTACCATTTATATTCACCAAATTTATTATTTTTTTATCAAATTTATTACTACTTCATTCAAATCAATGTTTAATAATAATAGAAGGGAGGTGAATGTTATAGAGCAAAACCTGGAGGGAGGTCTCTGAAATTATCCCTTAATTTTATTTACATATATGAAACAAATGACTAGTAGATATATATAAATTAAATGTGATTTTTTTTTTATATTAAAATATAAATTTGTGAATCAATTTTTGTATTAGAAAAATCTCATATCATGATTTTTGGAGAATTTGAGATTTAATCTGATGATATGAAATCGCATATCCAAACGATAAGAAATCATATGGCCAAACGTCGTAATTGTAACATTGTGTATGGGCTAGAAAATTGTAAAGCCCAATAGTTGTGAAAGAAAAAAAAACCTAAGTAGGAGCGGAGCGTCTGTCTGTGTCGCAAAAAACCCTTGTAAAACCCTGTGAAGTTTACCGGCCTATACCTGTCGGAAAAAGGAAAAACAATTCCAAGTCTCGCCGGCGTTTTGTCAAGGAAGATGGCACCCAAATTCCAAAGCAAAAAAATTGCACCTAAAACCTCAATGCCTATGCAGCTTGAAGATGAAGTTCCTGACTTTCCTAGAGGTACTTCTTCTTCTATGACAACAAAATTTGTTCTAGTTTATTTGATTTTCGATTTATTGAAGGAAAATGTGTACTATTTCCCTTTTATGGTTTCTTCAATATATATGGACCTCCAGACGACATTTTTCCACTAATATTGTTTGTTTGTGCTGTTTTTGGGTTTGTAGGTGGGGCAACTTCTTTAAGCAGGAAAGAGTTGGATGAAGTTCGAGCTGAGGTGGATGCAGAGTTTGAGGCTGAAGAAAAACTATTGAAGAAGAGGAAGAAGCAACACAAGGTGCAAAGGAGTAATACAGAAGATGATTTAGGTTCCCTTTTTGGTGGTGGCATCAATGGAAAATTGCCAAGGTTTGCCAACAGGATCACTTTAAAGGTATGTCTATCAAACATTTTTTCTCTTTTAAAATTACATGTTTACAAGTTCATTTTTATTCACCTGCATTTTGAGTGGTTATCCTAACAACTGGCACCAAACATTTAACAACTTTACTTTCTTATGCATTCAGAATATATCTCCTGGAATGAAGCTCTGGGGAGTAGTTTCTGAAGTAAATCAGAAAGATATTGTTGTCAGTCTCCCAGGAGGCTTGCGGGGGTTAGTTCGAGCATCTGAAGCACTTCCTCCCTTTGTGGACGATGGAGCAAAACTGGTATTGGATCTTCTGACAATTTATTTTCTGATATAGGTTCTGTGAATTGTATTTTTAATGAATTCCTGAAATCCTTTTTTTTATGAAGTTTCCGAACAACACTTCAACTTTTTTTGTTACTTGTCTTAAAAAAACACTTCCAGCTTTTTTGTTCAAAGCTTATTTTATGCCAGAGTTTAACCGTTTGGCAAGCTGGAAGGAATTTGAATTATTATGTAGTGTATGGTGTATCAATATCTTCAATTTATCTATTAACTATAAGGGAGGATAAAAGAAGGTGAGATACGGAAACCAACCCAAAGTGATATTCCAGCACTAGTTCAAGCTTATTGACTAAAATGCTGTTGAAGTCAATAATTGTTCTAACTAATGCTCTCTATGTTTACTTAAAAAAATTTCTAAGTAAATAATCTCTCTTTTATAAGCCCCACTGAATAGTGTCTGAACTAAAAGTCCTGAACTTATGTGATAATTGTTTATGTGTATAACATTGAATTTCTGAACCCACACTAGAAATACTTTTTCCCCCTCTATTGAGAAAACGAAAAGCAAAGAAGAAATCAAGTGAAACTCAAATATTTAGGAGTGAATAAACTTCAGGAACTTTGAGAATTTTAGTTCATACTTTATGATTTTTTGATTTGTTCTCATCCCTCAAATTTTTGGGTTGTTATTTTGCGAAGTTTCTTTTTGCACTTTTGTACTTTTTCTTTGATAACAGAGAAGTCTTCGAGAACTAGTGGTTCAGAGTTATTGCAAGTAGCATAATATCGGTCTTTCTAGCAAAAGTTGCTATGAGTTTGTGGTGGCATTTTAGTCAACAAAGCCAAACTAGTGTTGAAACGTCATGCCATGGTTTGTGAATATTCTCTCATTTGAAGAAATGCACAACTTAGAAGCACGTAGAGATGATAAACTGAAAGATCGGCTGAGATGGTTAGGTTATGTCCTATGTCCATCTATAGATGCATTAGTCGATAGGTCTGAATCCATGGTGCACGTTGTTAAATGGGGAAGGGGTAGGCCTAAAGTCACATTTACAGAATTTGTCTCAGAAAACCTACAATTTTTTGGAATTCATGCAGATTTGCAAAATATAGGGTAAAATGGAAGAAAATATTTGTATAGGCAATAACAGTGAGTTGTGGTTAACGTATAGTTCTTTAGGAGGAGCCTTCAAGTCTTGTTAGAGATTAATATGACGGTAGAATATCTAGAGAATGTCTTTTGGCAGGGAATCTGAACTTCTAAACATTGAGTTAGTACTGATCTAAATGAAGCATTATGGTTAATATGATTCATTTTGTGGACTCCAACTTGCGTGGCATTGAGATATAATTGTTTTTGTAGAAGAAATGCATTATAAGTTATACAATCATCAATTGGCTTAAGGTTTTATCCACCCCAGGGTTAAATTAAATGGAAATGTTTTTGAGTCCATGTGTTTATTGTTTCTCAAGGCTTACTAAAAGATATGTTGTTATTGCATCTCAAGAAGATTCTATTGTACCACACCTTTTTAGTTCTTAATGAAACCTTGGTCAGTATTTCAATGGATTCATATCCTTTTAGTTCTTAGCCAATTTCTCGAGGATTACTATTTCACGAGAACCAACATATAACCCACAACAGAGAGTTCCCAGATATTACTATTGCAAAACCTTCCCATAGAAAGGTATTTCATTTAGGCTCAGATATGGATAAACATTGAGTATAGCATGTTTGAAATATGTTGTAACATGAGAGCTTTGTTCAGATTTTTAAGGGTTAAGGGTTCATATCCTTTTAGTTCTTTGCCAATATCTTAAGAACCATCATGAGAGATGTGGAGTAGTTACAATCTATATCAAAACCAATTGGTCAAGGTTAAAACGATCTTTTCACTTGAACTTGAGTTCTCGGCTATTACTGTGCAGTGTGCACAACATTTTTAGAATAGAAACATCATCTTGTTTAAGGTTAAAAGTGGTTAAACAATGAGCTGTAGTATATTCAGAGTATGTTACACCCACACGAGTAATTGTTTGGTACAAAAATTGATATTTTGTGGAGAGAAAGAGCTCAACTTTTTGTTTTTTTACTGTTCATGACCTGGAAAAAGTTGCTAGAAAAATCGTAGAGGCTTATGCCACAAAACAAAAAATGAGGGGAGATCTCCATATGTAACCCCATTACTTGATACATGTAATGTCAACGCTTGAATTGGAAGCTTTTATAGGTTTATACACATACTTGGATTTGTTAGGATTTCCTAAATTGCTGATTTACTGATCTATGCTGGAGGAAAACATTGGTAGTCTTTTCTATTATGAGACGATGATATATCATCCAGAGTATGACATCTCTTTAGCAGTGCATAAATTAAATAGAGTCTCTGTCTCTAGCATTTATGACTTGTTAAAGATATATAATCCTCCAAGTTTTCCTTTCACCATAGAGATCTTATCATTGACATAATTTATCTATTTATTTGTTCAATTTTTGAGGTAATAAACAAATTAGACAAATGAATAATAGCTGAAATATCGCATGCAAACAGAGCGCTTGATTTTGTATACATCTTGTATGAGGAGCTTTCCCTTTCAGTTAATTATAACTATTACTTATCAAATATGTGGATAACGCATGTATCAAATAATTCTAGTAAAGGTAAATTCAAGCCAAGGTTCCTTAAATTTTCAAAATAGTTTATGATCTCTCTAATAGAAGTAGTTGTTGAAGATATTGCCTATTCTTAATGATTATGTAATTTTGTTTTTCTAATAGCTTAATTTACCTTTGCAGTCGGAGATGGACACTAATTTTCTTTCTAATGTATATCACACCGGGCAGCTGGTTTCTTGCATCGTCTTGCACTTGGATGACGATAAGAAAGAAGTAGGGAAGAGAAAGATTTGGCTTTCCTTGCGTCTCTCTTTATTGCACAAGAACTTGACTCTTGACGTTATTCAAGAAGGAATGGTATGTTAATTATCTTTTAGTTATCACCATTTTGAGTTATATTTTACTGTGTTGTAGTCTGAATTAGTAGCTTGTTGCAAGATGCGGTTATATTTACCTTTTGCTAAAAAGGAAAACCTGAAAGCTTCATTGTTTCCCCAAGAGAAATAGTCCAGCCTTTTGCTTTAGGTTGATGAGAAAATTAGGAAGTGCTTATCGAAAAACAAAAAAGGAAGGTAGAAATTATACAACAGTCTAATTTGCGTTTCAGATTTTTGAGACATAAGATGATAACAAATACTTGAGAAAAGAGTGAATAAGATAATTGTTAATTTTCTATTGCGGGTTAAAGCAATAATTGTGTATAACAACCCAGAAATCCACCTTGTGGAAAGGTTAACTCAGAGATCCTAGGTGAACATATGCTATTCAATCTGTCAAGTATGTCTGAATTCGACAAAAAGATTTGGTTATATGAATCCTCTGTAACCATTCTGCATTATCAAGCCAAGATCATTCCTATTTTACTTTGCTCATAAATAATTTCCCTTTTAAGGCAAATTTTGGGCTCTCTAATGTTAGAGCTTCTTTAAATTTCACATTGACTTTTACCAAGTTTTAATTTTCTTATAACTTGTTTAATTACCTGATAAAACTTTTTCCCTTTATTATGACTTTATATGATATGTCAAACAAAAACGATCTTTTAAAAATAATTTGGCAAGGTTTCTGATGGATCAATATGGGCGGTCAAAATAGGTTGAGTTAATAAATAGGTGGGTCATCAACCTGCCCGAACCTATGCAGATCATGTTTTCATGGACTAATTTTGTCACCTCTAGTAATCACGTTCTAAAGAATTTGTCTTCCTTTAAGGTATTTTCCTATTGCAACAAGCATGTCGCGATGTTTTGTGTTAGCCATCCTCTAATGATGCTATTTTCTATATCTTTATTTAGTATGCCATTCTCTAGTAAAGATTGACTGTTCATACGTAATCATGTTCCTGTGTGGTCCTTATTTGACAAGGGGTCTAATTGGTCGTCCATATAATGTCTTACTTCTACTTATCCTAAAGCCTTTACCTTGTAAAGTGATTCTCCACTGTTCCATATTTTGATGGACATTCTTGTCACTTTCAATAATTAACACAATATCATTTTCAAAAAAGCATGTACCAACTAAAGTCAAAATGGACATTCACATGCTGTTCTAATTGAAAAGTTCTCTTCCTAAAAAATATCTGCAATTGGTCGGGGGTGTAGAGCAATGATAATAAGAGTGAATTGTTAGGAATGAACAAAATATGATTAAAAGAATGCACAATTGATAGGACCATTTTAAAAAAAAGAATGTACAGTTAAAACAATACAAAACAAAATAAAAGAATGTATTGTTGGTAGTAGTTTTCTTTTTTTTTGGATAAAGTAAG